GATAATGTCAGCAGGTTTGAGATGCCTGGGCGGCTCAGTCGGTTAAGCGTCTGCCCTCTGCTCAGGTCATGGTCCCAGGGTCCTGGGATCGAGCCTCACGTCGGGCTCCCTGCTCAGGGGGAAGCCTGCTTCTCCCTCTCCCACTCCCCCTGCTTGTGTTCCCTCTCTCGCTGTCAAAAAATAAATTAAAATATTAAAAAAAAAAAAGATAATGTGAGGTTGGGCTTTTAAAAAGCTCAGCTCTCTGTTGTTTACCAAGAAACGTATCAAAGTGATAAAGGGTAAAAACGGGGAAGGGCAAACATGAGACAGTTCTCAAATGCGTCTAACAACACAGCAGCTAAGAAGTGAAACTGCTGGAAACACCAGATTTGCTTTTTAAGCTTTTATTTTTAAGTAATCTCTACACCCAATATGGGCCTCGAACTTAGAACCCCAAGATCAAGAGGCGCATGCTCTACCGACTGAGCCAGCCGGGTGCCCCTGGAAATGCCAGGAGATCTTGAAAAAGCCGATTAGAGCAGCGAATTCAGTGCCCCTTTCCTAACGGGCCAGACCCCGCGGACAGACGGAGCAGGGACCTGGAGCACTGGCACTCCCCCGCTGCACATTCCTCACAGGCACCAAGGAGCTTCAAGTCGGAGCTGCCTGGGCCCTGCCCCTAAAGACTGGCTCAGCCCCTCGTGGCCCAGCCTTGAGATGCCTGAAACCCTGGTCCACCTCCAGCCCACCAAAGCTCTTCCTGTGGCCCGGACACTCTCCATTCCCAGGCGCTTCGCCAGGCCCCGCTGGTTCATCCTCCCTCCTGGATGCAGCCTGGACGCCCCACCCATGCGATCCTCCAGCAGTCCCCCTCAATGCACCCAACCTGATGGCTGCACCCCCATCAGCACAGGAGCCTCTCGGTAGAGACCCCGCTGTCCTGTTCCCTCTGGATCCCCAGCAGCTTGTACCAGCACCTGGCTATCGCTCAGGTAGAGCTGGCTGAAGGGATGAGAAAAGGTGTCCCCCTCCAGTGTCTGCTCTTATGCAGAGTGAACCTGATAAGAGCAGGGCACCTGTGGCACTGGGGGGCCCCAGCGGCGGGCAAGGGCGTGTCCTGTCCTCACGCATGGAAGCAGCTATCTCTGACAACCCCCAACCAGCGGGTCGCTCCCCATCTTGGCCCTCAGGGGCCTCCCTCGGCAACCACGGGCCACCTGGACTCCTGGGTCCCAGTCACAGGCCGTCAGCTTCCCCCAGCCCCAGCGTCCCTCCCAGCCTGGCCCGCCACGTGGCACAGTGTGTCGGGAAAGCCCCGGCTTCTCTCATGAGCCTCTCACCACAGGGGCTGGAGTTATTCAAGCGAAGGACCCGGGTGACCGTGTTTCCTCCAGAGACCTGGGTGCCGAACCTGGAGGCAGGAGACCGGGCTCACACGGCGCAGGCAGGGCTGCTCACAGAGGGGGCTGGAACTGGGGCTCGGGCGGGGAGGAGGCCTGCAGTGGTCTATCCTGAAGTCACGAGGGCCTCGGGCTGGAGGCCTTCCCCGTGCAGTGGCCGGCGAGCGGTGACCCAGGGTGCTCGGTGCCCCAGTAGCCCCGCCCCCGCCCTACACCAGCACCTACCAACAGATCCCAACTGGTGGTGTGTGGGGCCCCAGGTCTGGCACGGACCTCAGGCCACCCTGACTACTTGCTACTTCTCTCCCCACCCCAAGCCCTCGGAGATGTGCAGACAGCAGCCATGGCCTTGGAGACCGCTGTCTTCCAGGGCGGCCCTGTCCTGGGGCTTTCTTGCTGGGTGGCACCAAGTAGCCTTGGGCCCGCTGGAGAGCAACAGGTCAGCACGGGCAGCCAGGCTAGAGGCCAGAGGGTTTCAAGGGTTAGGGGATGAGGCCGGTGGGGTCACCTGATGACAGGTTCCTTCTGCAACGGGTCAGTGGTATAATAGGTGGTCCTCCGGGAGCTGATGGGGCAGCCCACCACTGCCATATGCACCGGGATGACTGTTGGTGGCAGGTCTCCCACCTGCAAACGCACACCAATCCTGTGTCCCTCTCGTCCCCTGCTGCCATGGCATTCCCTGGCTCCCCATTCCCTCTGTTCAAGGCCTTCCCTCCAACAGAACAATGGACATAGTTCACCCCTCCGTACTGAACTAGGAACTCCTTGTTGGATCATCTGGTCTTATCTGTCCCTGTATCCTCCACAGTCCAGAGAACCCCACAGGAACCCCATGCACAGCAGGTGCCCCCTTCGGGCCGAACGAGTGAGTGAAGGCCCAATGGGAGAGTGAGTGAATGCACCAAGGGCTAGGTGACAGTATGGCTCTGGAAGGCTGTTACTGCTTCTCCATACTCACTGCCCCTCCAGGTCTCGAGTCCTGGCCCAAGTAGGCAGCCTGTCAGATTCCTCTGCCCTCCTCTGTGTGCCCAGCCTCATGGGACCCCATGGGAAAAGGCATGAAAGATTCTGCTCCCGAGAACCCCTCCTGCGTGAATCACTGTGGTTGCTGTGGGTGTGAATGCCTATCCCAAGCTCAGTGGGCACGGTCTTCCAGCTTGGAGAGACCTGAGAGGCTGAGGGCCAGGAGTTGGAGGAGGGAGAGCCCGAAGGTGAGGCCGGGCTCAGGCCATCTATCCTTACCGTGCAGATGAGGTTGTCCCAGTACTCGCCCCACATGTTCGCGTAGCCTGAGATGTCGATGCTTAGCTGCTGGTGGGCCCCCAGCATGCCCTGGGAAATGTGGGGAAAGAAGGCAGCTCCTTTGCCATGAGACAACATGCTTTCCATAAAATCTGGGCGATAACCAGGAATGGGGATTCAGGACTCCAGGGCAGGAAGGAGGTCCAAACCCTCAGGAGTTAGCAAAGCACTATGCCAGATAAGCCACTCCACAGCCTCGCCTTGGTCTGGTTAAACAGACCCTCCTCCTGGGAGTCCAGAATCCAGCAGGCAGCCTCGCTCACCTCTCAGGGACCAGGCCCTGGTGGGAGCCCTCCCTTCTGAGCCGTCACCCATCCCAAATCAAAACAAGGCCCATGTCCACGGGCTGTATGCCAGGAGACAGCCTCATTCAAAAAGGGAGTCAGGAGGAGGGCCATGGCCATCTCAGAGGTTTTGCTAGAAAAGATCCTGAAATGGGGCTGTGGCCAGGGCCCCCTCCCTGCAGCAGGCGGCCCACCCCCTGAGAAGGCCCCAGGAACCCCTGCTCTGGCCCACACTGGGGCTCTTACTCAGCTGCTCTCGCCTGGCCAAGTGTTCTCGAATCCGCGATGTCTTCAGCAGGGCAGGGGGCATGTCGGGGCTTTACCAGACAGGATACAGAAACAGCATCAAGCCATCAGGGCTGTTCCCCAGAGCTGAGCCATGTCTCCCCGCAACTAGCATCCTACCAGATGCCCAGTGGAGGAAGGCCGCTCCGACTGCTCCTCCCAGGGGAGAGGTCAGGTCTGTTCACCTCCCTCTCTGGTCTTGGCACCTGCTACACCCCCATCACCCAAAGCCCCCTGGCTACAGGCCACCCACCAGCCGAGGGACTGCCTTCCCAGAAACCCAGAAGGCCCCGGGGTAGGGACCCCTTGTCCCCAGGCTCTGCCCCGCTGACCCCGGATACCAACCCAGCCCAGACTCCTCATCTCTTGCCCAGCCTTCTGCAAAAGGCCCTGTTTGCAGTCTTTTCTGCTGACATGCGTCCAGCATCGAGTGCCCACTAACTTTCCTGGAGTGGGAAAGGTAATGGCTTACAAACCGTGAGTGGCTCCCCACCAGCCACGGCAGTGGTTTTCCAGTTGGGCTTCCTCGCCTTAGGAGACGAGGTGGTGAGGTGCTTGCTCTGGTGTGCTGGCAGAGCACCAGCTTCTGTGGCGTAAATCCTTTCCCCGTGGCTGATGTCCAGTTACAGCTTTGCAGAAAGCCTCCCTGCGACATCTCTGCCTGCACGGCTCCCGCCGCTGCCACGAACTTCTCCCTCACCCGCTGGCCTCATCTCTACCGCCTCATCCGCCGGGAGCGGCCCCCGCCCCTGCTCGCCACAACCCCAGCCTCTCCCGAAGGCCCCCTCAGAGTCTGGGAGATGGGGGGTAGGAGCCGTTTCTCTACATTTCTCCAGGTATCCTTGTGAAAACACACCTTCTCACTCCTCACACCAGCCTCTGGCCGCCTAAGCCACATAGATGCTTAATAGGGCAACCCCGCCTGGCCCCGTCCTCCCTGGGAACTGCCCCTGAAAGAAACCGGACTTACACACTGGGTTTCTGGTTCAGGCTGTCCTGGGGACTCCCGAAGTACTCAAACTTGAGGGTGAAAGGTGTCTGTATCGGGGAGCGGTTGGTCAGGATGAGAGGGCAGCTCACGTGGGTCCTCAGAGGCACCTTGGAGCCGAAGTCAAGGCGGAGTTCCTCCAGGCGGCCCGGCCACAGCTCCGTGCTGGGAACACTGCCCCGGGCCCAGGGCACGAAGTTACAGGCCACCCTTGGCCCCGCCCAGAGAGCCCCCTCGGGGGGAGTGTGAGAGCTGCCTACACACTGGGCTTCATCCTCGGACTGCCTCCCGTGAAGCTGCCACCCCACAGACACATCCTTCCTGTCAGCTCAGGACGTCAAGAGGGGCCTCAACCACAAACCTTCCCTGACCAGGGGTGACTGGCCTATCTCCCGCTTGCTGGGCCTTGTGTGGGAAAGCCCAAGCTGCCTACGGCCCTGCCCCCTGCATCTCCTACCTGCCCGGATGCCATGCCTCCAAGTAGGTGGGGGAAAAACCACACAGAGCGCAGGGTTTGGGTAGAGAGACCTGCTCCCAGAGAGGTTGGCAGGGGCACGATAATACTGTGGCCCTTTCCTGGCTGCAGGAATCAGCTGGGAGTAGGCTGGTATCACAGTGCAGTGCTAGTCCTCTGTATGGTTGCCTCAACTCTCAGGCCCTAGCCCCAGCCCTGGGCTCACCTGCTGTCAGAGCCCTCCATAGAGATGGCAATAGCCACCTGCAGTCCCTGGGGTTTCCCAGAAATGCCCAGAACCAGTGGCTCCTTCATGCCTGACACGGTACAAGGGAGGGCCAGATCGCTCAGCTCGTCCTATAAGAAAGCCCACCAAGGGCATATCAGTACACTTAAGTCCCAGGCCTGGGCCTCACATGGTCTTCCCTAGCAGCGGTGGTTGCTGTGGGACACTCAGCACAGAGGCCTTGACCTCTGTCTAGTCTCATCTCTGTGGAAGGGCTCCTCAGTCCCTCCAGTGAGCCACCATCCACAGGCCCAGCCTGACGTCCCACATCCTGGCCCCTTCCTCAGGGCTCCTGGTTGAGTCTGCTCTGAATTTCTGTGCATACCCACACGAAGGGAGACCCTCAAAGTGGGCCTCTGGAGAAGCTACACACTTATTCTGATGAAGCTGTTACCACAGAAATCAAGCCCTTCCTGACTGAGGCCTGCTCTGTGCCTGTGTCCATCTGCTTATCCCCGTAGAGCTCAGACTCAGCGGAGAAAGAAAGTCTACTGTCTCCAGGTTTGCCAGGGAGAAATGGGACTGGGTCTCCACATCTCCACAAGGAAGAAGTCTCTTTTCCCACAAGAACCACAAACAGATAGCCAGCAACCCCCAACCAAGTACTGAGCAAGTTCCGCCCCGATGGCCTTCCTGTGGGCTGCGTCAGGGAGCAGCTGTGCCCTTCTTCCGGGAAGGCGGCCACCAGCTAGCCTCTCCCAGTAGCACCCAGCACAGGGCCTGTTCCGCATCCTTGGGCAAATTGGAAAGCCGGGCCCACCTATGGCTGCAGACGAGGGGAGGGTAAAGCTGGTGCCAAAGGCTACACATGGCCCGCGGTTCTGAGGGCCACTCAGGCCTGCTCCGGGCTTCCTGACCTTGTATCCCTAGAGAGCAGGCCTAACAGGAATGGGGACCCCAAACCCAAATGCAAGGAATCTCTTGCCCTCTTACAGGAGTGGGGTAGGGTGCCTTCCTAGCCCCTCAGGCCCCCTCACCACCTAACTCACCTGGGTGTGAGTAGCCAGCTCCAGGCTGATGTGGCGCTCCTCACTGGGGCCCAGCGTGCCGTGTCTGGGGGAGGCCCTTGCCGTGCAGACGCTTGCTTGGCGCCCCAGCAGCTGGCAGACATGTGGGTATGGAGGCCCTCTTGTCACATGCTGGATTCCCGGCGTGGACCCGGGGTCCGCACAGGGCTTAGCACTGGGGCGCGCTCTGCTGGAGGCTGGTGGTCTGGGGGCCCGCAGCAGGACCAGAAGGGGCTGGCTGCTCTCTGGCGGGGCTAATCCACCGGTCCCTTCTCCTGCCCTCCCCAACCCTGGGCGGACCTCACGCCTGTCAGGCGTTGCCTGAACTAAACAAGCTGCCCTGGGAGGCCCAGGGTGAGGGTGAGGAGAGGGCAACCGCCTCTGAGGCACAGGACATGGCCCCATCTCCCACCTCCCACGGCACACAAAGCAAGCTCCACGGTCAGCCCCTCGGGCAGTGCCTAGCGGGGCTCGCAACAGCTACGTGGGCCAGCCATGGGCTATGCCGGCTGGGAGCCCAGGCTGTGTGTTCCAGTGACTCCTTCTCAGCTAGGGAACTAGAATTCCCTGGAGGCAGGACAAGGAAAAACCAGACCAGATGTGCTGCTCCTTCAAGGAGCCCAGCAGTTCTGAGCACTGTGGGGCAAGGGGCAGGCTGCGGGAGAGAGGTGAGCACCTGGGGGGCAACCTCCCTCTCCACATGGGCCTCTGGTGCTGAGGACTGCAGACCCGGTGGCTGACGGTGCAGGCTCACTCACCGTGCCCCAGTGGAATCGGGTAGGCAGGAGTGTGCCGTTGATGAGTGTAACAGTTGCCTTGGTGGGCACGCCCACATAGAGGTTCGTGACTTCCACGTGGCTGCTTTGCAGGTACACATGGGGCTCCTGTACCTCAGCATACACAGGAAGGTAGCTGGAACACAAGGAAATAACAGGTATACTGATTAGAGAAGAAACGAAACTCCCTATTTGCAGATGACATGAAGGTCTATGTGGAAAACCCCAAGGAGTCTATATTTTAAGAACTTCTTAAAAAACAATAACAACAACAAATGCAACAACCTCCCACAACTAATGAGTCAGCAAAGTTACGGGGTACAAAATTACATCTGTGGACCACGAACATGTGGGCATAGAAATTAAAAATACAATACTATTTATGATTGTTCAGAAAAACTGCAATACTTAGATATAAATCTAATAAAATCTGTACAGGATTTATATGCTGACAACTACACAACACAGATGAGAGAAATCAAAGATTTTTTTTTTTAAGATTTTATTTATTTGACAGAGAGAGGGACAGCGAGAGAGGGAACACAAGCAGGGGGAGTGGGAGAGGGAGAAGCAGGCTTCCCGCCGAGCAGGGAGCCCAACGAGGGGCTCCATCTCAGGACCCTGGGATCATGACCTGAGCCGAAGGCAGACGCTTAACGACTGAGCCACCCAGGCACCCCAGAAATCAAAGATTTAATAAAAGGAGAGACATACTATGTTCATGGATTAGAAGATTCAACACAGTAAAGATGTCAATTCTCCACAAACTGATCTATAGGTTTAACATAATTCTTAGGAAACTCCCAAAAAGGATTTTTGTAAATATAGACAAGCTCATTATAAAATTTACATGGAAACATAGAGGACATAGAATAACTAAAACAATTTTTAAAAAGAAGAATACGATAAAAAATCACTGTACTGAATGTTAAGACTTACTCTATGGCTACAGTAATCAAGATAGTGAACCACTGGTGGAGAGATATACACACAGACCAATGGAACAATATAGAAAATCTAGACATACACTCACACCAATCTTTCACAAACTCTTAAATGACAGAGAAGGGGAATGAACACTTCCAAACTCATTCTAAGATGTATTACTCTAGTAACAAAACCAGACAAAGACATCACACACAAAAACACAGACCAATATCTCTTATGACTACAGATACAAAAATCCTCAACAAAATACCAGCAACCCAAATCCAGCAACATATAAAAAGGACCATACACTGACCAAATGGGATTTTTATAAGAGTACAAGGTTGGTTTTAACATCCAAAAGTCAATGTAAAACACCATGTTGACACACACAAAGGATAAAAAGGACATGATCATTTCAATAGATGCAGAAAAAAACATTCAAGGAAATCTAACATTCTTTCAATAGAAAAACAATCAGCAAACTAGGAATAGGAGGGAACTTCCTCAACCTGATAAAAGACATCAACAAAAAGCCAAGAGCTAACATCTTACATAACAGGGAAAGACTGCTTTCTTTTAAAGATGGGGAACAAGACAAGGATGTCTACTTTTGCCACTTTTATTCAACTTTATACTGGAGTATTAGGTCCATTAAGCAGGAAAAAGAAATAAAAAGCATACCAATTGGACAAGAAGAAGTAAAATTATCTCTATATACTGATGACACAATCTTCTACTTAGAGAACTATTAGAAATAATAATGAATTCAGCAAGGTTGTGCGATACAAGATCAATGAACAAAAACATTTGTATTTCTATAAACTAGCAATGAATATTCATAAAATGAAATTAAGAAAACTAGTCCATTTCCAAAAGCATCAAAAAAGATACATAGGAATAACTTTAACAAAAGAAGTACAAGATTTATACACTGAAAATGACAAAACATCATCAAAAGAAATGAAAAAAGGGGCGCCTGGGTGGCTCAGTCGTTAAGCGTCTGCCTTCAGCTCGGGTCATGATCTCAGGGTCCTGGGATCGAGCCCCACATCGGGCTCCTTGCTCTGCAGGAGGCCTGCTTCTCCCTCTCTCACTCCCCCTGCTTGTGTTCCCTCTCTCGCTGTGTCTCTCT